TTTCTGCATTATTTCTGCTTTTGCCTTTTTCCATCTCTACAGTTTTTCTGTTCAGGATGTAAACCCTCTGCTGTGATCATTATTTCTTCTGCACAGCCCAGTGTTGGGAGTTTTTCAGGGAGGGTTTGATGAAGGTGTGATGATCATGGTGAAAAATAATGAGTCATGGACTGTACCCTGGAAGAAGAGAAAGACCAGAAGGAAAATGACAGTTGGAGGAGGATATAGTGACCCCGTTATTAAACCATGCATCCACACCTTCGCCGTACTTCTTCCAGCCCTGTCCTGTAGTTACCGGCTTGTCTTTCTTCCCTACCCTTTTGGCTGCTTTTTAATGTTTTTAGCAGTCCATATTCATCATGCTTGTTAGTTGTGCATATCAGTGGGATTAACGTGATCTGTCCATAGGTGGACATAATATTATGAGTGCACTGATAAAATCCAGTGCACTCATAATATTATGAGTGCACTGATAAAATCCAGCCTCTATCCACCACAACTGCGCTCCCCAGTTCTAGTAATACAGTGTTAGCTCAACTCATGAACTTAATTCTTTCCATGGGAACCATTCTTTTCACTTTGGTTTGCAACCAGAATCTTGGAAAGAATTAAGTTTGTGAACTGAGGTACCACTGTAACTGTTCTCTGTGTCTGCTTTATGCCACTTAACATGATGTTCTCCAGTCCCGTCCATTTTGCTGCCAGCATTTCAGGATTTCATTCTTTATGTCTGAATAATACTCAGTTGCACACTGAGAGGGCCACATTTTCTTTATTCATTCGTCTGTTGTTGGTGTCGAGCCTACTTCCATATCTTAGTCTGAATAGTGCTACTACAAATACACACAGGTAGGTAGCTCTTTGGTATGTTGATTTTATTTCTTTTAGGTATAAGTGGAAGTAGGATAAATGAATCATACAGTCTATCTAGAATTTTTCCAGGAATTTCCATACTGTTTTCCATAGTGGCTGTTCTAATTTACATTGCCACCAACAGTGTTTAAGAGCTTCTTTTACTCTACATCATTAGTATTTATATTTTGCTAATAGTCATTTTTACTGTCTTGAGATAGAATCTCATTTTAGTTTTGATTTTCATTTCCCTGATGGCTAATAATGAGCATTTTTAATATATACATCAGCCATTTATCTTCTTTTGAGAAGTGTCTATTCAGATCCTTTGCCTAGTTGTAAATTCTATTATTTGGTTTTGGTTAAGTGTTTTGACTTTACCTTTATCAGGTGAAGTGTTGGCAAATATTTCCTCCAATCCTATAGTTCATCTCTTCATGCTGTTGATTGTTTGCTGTGCAGAAGATTTTCAGTTAGGTATACTCCTGTTTGTCAATTTTGCATTTGCTAACTCTTCTTTTGAGGTTTTATTCTGAAAATTATTTTCTGTACCAATGTCTTCAAGTATTCTCTTGATGCTTTCTTCTGGCAGTTTCACATTTCTAGTCTAAGATTTAGGGTGTTTAATTCATTTTAAGTTTGTTTTGTACAGCATGAGTGAGCCATAATGGTCAAGTTTAAATGTTCTGCACCATTTATTGAAGAGGCTTTTGTGTCTGCATGCATATTTTGGAAGGCTTTGTCAAGATACAGTTAGCTGTAAATGCACATCTGCATATCTGTAATCTCTATTCTTTTCCAGGTATCTGTGTATCTGTAGTTAAGCCCATATTTGTTGTTTTGATTACTATGGCTTTGTAGTGTGTTCTGAAGTCAGATTTTGTGATGCTTCTAGCTTGTTCTTGCTCAAAGTTTTCTTCAAATTTCCCTGAGTTATCTTTCTAGTTTCTTTACACTTTCCCGAGATACTGGCCTTCCATCCTACCTGACTAGTCCATTTTATTTTCCATGAACATTCTTTATGTTTCCTGCCTCCATGTTTGTAGTTTCCTCTGCTTAGAGTAGTTTCTTCTATGTTGCCTTCCTTGGTAGGAGTTTGACTCCACGGTATTTACCCTGAGGACATTGTGACTTCCATAGGAAATTCCTTTCTACATTATTTCTGATGTAATTGTAAGTACTATTTTCAATAGATTGACAAAGAATTGGCGAGTGGTGAATACTTTTTGAAGGCAAATCAGAAGAAGCGACAGAAAATGGAAGCAATAAAGGTAAGACTTTGTTTTTTCACAGCAATTAACAGCAAGGTTCATAAGATACTTGAGTTCTTATTTATAAATTGTACCTTGATAATGTATTTCTTAATAATGTAGGCTAAACAAGCAGAAGCTCTCAGTAAGAGACAAGAAGAAAGAAATAAAGCATTTATTCCACCTAAAGAAAAGCCGGTTGCAAAACCTAAGCAAGGTAAAGCTCATTTTTTACCTCTTGATGTAAAAGTGTATTATCTGTGAAAAATAAAATCGTAATTTATCCGAACCTCTCATGCTAACTAAAAAATAACCATATCTTTCATCAAGTATCTTAGGATTTTATTATTTACTAAATATAGGGAGAAGAGATGACTGAGGTAATTTCTTATTTAGTGGCAGTTAATGCTTCATTCAGAGTGTCTCAGAATGGCCGTCCTTCCCCACCTGTGATTTGTGCCTGAGATGATGCTTTGTTGCGAACGATACAAACCCTGAGTGGTTTCTGTTGTTTTTATTTTCTTTCTGTTTGTTTGATCTGTGGCTGAAGATTTGTTTCTGTGTTGTTAATGATTTCTCATTACTTTGGACTAAAGAACAAAATAATATTTGGGGAATATTAAGAAGACACTAAGAAAAATGCAGGCCTTTTCTTCTCCATTTCTGTCTTTATTCTTATTTATCCTCTCTTCTTTTGCATTTTCTTTCCTTCTATTAGCACTTACTTGTACTCTTTGTATTAACGCTCTCACTCTTCCTAAAGTAATAATCCATAGCCAACAGTAGCACACTGAGTGGGAGAAAGGTCACTACCAAAATTACATATATATAGGCTGGGTGTGGTGGCACAGACCTGTAATCCCATTACTCAGGAGGCTGAGGCAGGAAGATTGCCACAAGTTTGTGATTAACCTGGGCTACAAAGTGAGTTCAAGGCCAGCCTGAACTATGTAGTGAAACCCTGTCTCACAAAAACCAAAAAAAAAAAAAAAAAAAAATTTGTATATGAACCACTGGTCAAATCCGTATTTTTCATTGTTGCCTTTTTTCTGTCCATGCTTTAGGCACTGAGTAGATAGTTGGGCTTTGTGAGAAAAACCTCCAAATCCTCTATAAATTGTCTATGTTACTAAAATCTTGTTAAATCCTAATCATTAATTAATTGAACTTAATAAGTTTTTGTTGTGGTCTTAGATGCAGTAGATTTTAATGTGTAGCTTCACAGTTAGCTCATTAAAATTACTGAAATTAGGAAAAGCTACATGTGTCTTCCATGAAATGTACAAACCATATTCTAAAATTGTAAATTATGGAAGAGAAGATAAATAAAAATTGTCTGGTCTCAAGTAATAGTTAAGAAAATACAACTTTGATATTAGTTGCTAAATTGTCAAGCTGTTTTCACGAGTTCTTTCATACGCACTAAGGTATATGGGGAGTATTTTACTTTCATGATTTGTTTTATACTAGTCTGAAGAAATTTCTAACTCTCCTTTAGGCAAATGTTTTACAGTTTATCACCTTTCATTGTTTAAAATAGTACTCTGGGGCTGGGGATATAGATCAGTGGCATAAGCACCTGCCTGGCAAGTGCAAGGTCATGAGTTCAATCCCCGGTACCGCAAAAAAAAAAAAAATAAATAAAATAGTACTCTGAAATTACTCTGTTAAACACTTGTTTTTTATATGGGATCTGGCTACGTGGCCCAGGCTGGCTTTGCACTTGTGATCATCCTACCTCAGCCTCCTTGATAGCTGGGATTATATACATGTGCCACTGTGCCCAGCTAAACACAGATTCTTTATGTTTTGATTTCTAAAAACCTGTTTATGTTTTTAACTTTTTTAGCTTCCTCTGAAACTAAAATTGATGTGGCTACCATTAAGGAAAAGGTTAAGAAAGCAAAGAATAAGAAACTTGGCGCTCTCACAGCTGAAGAAGTTAAGCTTAAGATGGAAGCAGATGAAAAGAAAAAGAAGAAGAAAAAGTAACATTTGAAAACCAAACCTTGAACTATTAATTTATGAATCTATCTCCTTTTGTGAAGGATTTTGAGAAACTAGGGCATTAGTTGCCCTATAATACTCTGATCACTTTTTCTGAGTTTCATTTGTTAATAAAATAGTACTTTTTATAAATATGTTATTCTATTTTTCATGTGTGTTCTGAGAAATTTTGTGTTGCAGGGTACTATATATGTCATGTATCTTGTATAACCAGTTCCAGGCAGGTCTTACTGACATACAATTTTAAGAGTAACTTTGAATTTTTATATAGATATGAATGTGACTATTGTAATTATGCATTAGATTCAAACAATATCTGAAGCCGTTGGTTAGTCTTTAAATGTAGTGATATCCCAGTGTTTGGTTTTGAGGAAAATAAATGCAAAATTCTCAGTGCTTTCTCTCTCCTTCTCTTAATGATAAGTGGATATTTTGGCTTATCCCTTCTTATAATTTTGTGTTTCATTAAGAGATTAAACTGCTCATAAGCTGAAAGTCACGGCCATTGAAATCTTTTGTTATACTTCTATTCTCAGTTTAGGTATGTGGTCAACAGTAATATATCAAATTACAAGAGAGCAGGAAAAATCAGGTACCGAAGAACTGAAGCTAAACTAATGTAGGACACCGCAGTTGGAGTCATTTACGTCAATGATGGCGAGCCTTTTAGAGCTCTCAGTGATAACAAACAGCCCGCTGCAGCATGCGCTCCATAGGTTCGCCCCCACTGACCTATATCTTGCTTTCTTTGTGAGTGGGGAAGCTAGTTCACTTACTGAAAATCCAGCTGTGGCGACCTAAAAACAATGCTTCTTCATGAAAAGTGGGAAGAAAGATGAATTTGTCCTGTAGAGCTAGGAAGTTGAACAGTTTTTCTTTTGAGTAAGGCAGTACTGCAGTACCATATTTTATTTTGACACATTTTAAATTAGAAGCACACCAGATGTTACTGTTTTAAAAAGGCCACATACTAACCCTTCATTGCCTAGAAATCTGTTTTTAGAATGCCCATAACAACAGAACATCATAAAATGTTTCCAAATTCTTATTCTTTGAAATTTTCCTAGTAACATGAATTTCACGCAGAAATTCAGAACCTTTCAGTCTTGGGCATAAATGAGTTAAGAAGTTCTCTCTCCATTGTATTATTCCAAAAGAACTAAATTAGGGTATTTATGTTTTACCCAAAGGGTAATTATAACAGACAGTAGTATAATTGGTGGATTAACAATAAGAAAGAGCGATGTGTATCGGTTACGTGAGTATATGGGCCAGCTTGGATATACAGTAGAGTAGTAACCTGTGAAATAAACAGAAAGTGTCCCGTTACACACTGTTTCTCATAATGTAACATAATTCAATAGCATTTAATTTAGAAAGGTAAGGTTTATATACATACGTGTGACTTTGTCTCGCTGTGGATTAACTGTAAAATTAAGGAGAATAAAATTTTTAGGTATAGGTCAGATTTTGATTATGTTTTTAAAAAAACAAGTCTTTATAATCATTAATTTTTGGTTATTGAGAGAGGGTCTCAAAGTTGGCCTTTAACTCAGTATATGTAGTCCAGGCTGGCCTTGAACTCACAGCAGTCCTTCTGCCTCAGCCTCCTGAGTACTGTAGTCATTAATTTGATTTGGCTTTGTTGCAGTGATTTTCAAAGGTCAGTTATTTAAGATTTTTTTGTACTAACTGTACTTGATATTTTTAAGACTATTTTATATTAACTTTATATATAAACATTTTATGTAAAAATTATACCACTACTGTGAATGAAAAATGATTTTACATGTATAACTTGCAGATAATACATTTAACATTAAATTCAAAATTAAAATATTAATATTTAAAAATAAAAATATTAGAAGTAATCATTGTGAACAATTTATTAAAATACTTTTCTGAAAATAAATTCTTTCCTAAAATGATAGTATTTATGTGAGTCAGTGGTAAAGAATAGCCTCTCTTCATCCATTCCATTAAGTTGTCAGTAGGGCTCATTAAACAGATACTTTTTCCATACCAGTTGGTATTAGATGCCTGTAATACAACCTGGCTCTCTGGTACTTGTGAGCATTCCTGATTTCATACCTGGGATTGGAGTTTGTGCTGATTAACTTAAACTTGCTACCCTAACTCTTCTTGGCTTTTACATCCCCAAATTCATTCAGTGTTATTTAGAAACAAATGTATATCCGTTGTACATCCATGTACCAGGTGAAATCTCATGTACTGGTATGCCTCGCATAGTTTATAAGTCTTGTGTTTATGAACTAAAAACAGTATTTAGAAAACCATAAAGGAAGTTTTCACTTCAGTGCATCCCAGAAGTAAGTCAGAGATGGGGATCTATTAAATAAGAGAGCTTTTATCTTCTTTTACCCTTGTCACACTTCATAATAAAAGAAGGGATAGTTATTAAACTGCAAATCAAAAATCCTATCATTCCGTATTAGTGCAAAAGATGGCATGCTTTCAAATAAGATTTATATGAAAGTAAATTACATAATTCAAGCTGTTTGAATAGAAAACGACAGGCTCAGTCTGGAGGGTGTTAAGTCATACAAAGTAAGTGGGTGGTGAATTTCATATTTTATAAATGCCATGTCATGTGCTTTGGTTTTGAGCTGAGGAGTTTTCATCAAGACTATAGTTTTAACCTTGCGACTTTAGCCCGGAAGTTCGGAGGTCATCTCATGCTACAGTTTCAAAGATCAGAAGCTAAAGCTCCAGCAATCGTTTTTTCTTATTGTAGTGATGGTACTAGTTATCTAGATTTGTACAGGGAAAGCATGGTTATTTCACCATTTTTCTGAGATGGTCCTGTGAGGCACATTTTATTGTAAGGTTGCTAATGGTCACAGTGGTAGAACTGGACACTGAGGTAGAGTTGGTGTATTGGTTCTGATTGCTGTAGTTTTAACTCCTGTGTTATAGTCCTAATTTAGGAAGGAAAAATTACCAGTCTGAATATATATGCTCATATATGTATTGCTTTGTAGTGTTAAAATCAATATAAAAGAAATAATGATTCTCTGAGAAGAAGTTCGTTGCACTGTGGTTTTTTGTTAGAATTGTCTTAGATTTATAGGAGTAAAGTAAATAATAGACTAGGAGAAAAATGACTGGCTCAGATAGCTGGTCTAAAAAGCGCGACTAGGGGCTGGGGATTTAGCTCAGTGGCAAAAGTGCCTGCCTGGCAAGCACAAGGTCGTGAGTTCGGTTCCCGGTACCAGAGAAAAACCAAAAAATAAAAAAATAAAAAGTGCGACTATTCCTGGAGTAGTGTAAGCAATTCAGTGTTTACAAACAGGGAAGAAGGGACAGCAGTATAATAGAATTTGATAGTTTTAGGCTTGGAAGGGACCTTTTCTACCAAGCAAGATTGCGTACAGGGACGCTCAGCCTTCTGTCCTCCATCTGTCCTAAGCATCTCAGCTCTGCTGCTCTGAGGAGAGTTTGTTACAGATGTGAACACAGAAGTGTCACAGGATTTGCATAACTGCGGTAACTTTAGGTTTCCCCCCTCATACTGTGGAAAAATAGTGGATATCTTAGAAGATACTCTTGTTAAAAAGGGTGTTTCTCTTAAACGTGTGTTGATTTCTGGAATGGTAAGCTATTTGTTTGACTGCTTCTTGGTGCTGTTTTCCTTGGAAATTGCTATTAGGATGAAACAAATAGTACTCTTCATTCTGTGCAAAGTTACAGTTTGAGTCACATTGTTTTATTGTCGGTTTCACTTACCACAGAGGTTGTCCAAACACGTGTCGTTAGTGGAGCAGGCACTGCACGTGGCTCCTTTTTTATAAGGCCAAGTTGGGTAATTTCCTCTATAAAGCAAAAGACTCTCCATTAGTAGAGATGTATTTCTTTTTCCAGTTGCAGTTTACCACGAATCCTTGACCATATTCAGAAGAACAGTACGTTGGAAGTCCAGAGATTGAGAGAGTTGGTAAATAAGTAGAAAGGGAAACAAAATGCTAATACTTCTAGGGTTCCTTTTATATGCCTGTGTCTACTAACCTGTGTTAATCTACATCATCTCATTTACTTACAACAGCCCTATTTCGCAGGTACGAGAAGATCTAAGAGGTTAGGAACTTGCCAGACATCACAGTTCACACATAACAGATTCAGAAAGAAGCCTAGATTTGTCTGACACCGGGGGTATGCTCCTTCTGGCCTGATTACTGTCATCTAGAAAACTGTTCTTAAAAATCTATCATGATCCTTATTTATCCTCTACTCTGACCAAATCACAGCACTTTTTATTAGACAGAGCTATTTGGGTGGGATAATGCTTTCCAAAAGAAAATAATAAGATGGGGGAAGTGTTGAAGTGTGATTTGTTTTCACATAAAAGATATAATAGATAATAGACATGTTCAGTGTGCTAGGCACTGTGTTAAGTGTCCTTGAATGAAATAGTCTTCATAACCCTATGAAGATGTACTGTTACTTATGTATTTAGAGGTTTAGGCAAAAGTCTAAATAATTTACCAAGGTCACTGATTAGAAAACGATATCTAAACATTTTATATCCCCATGAGTGTCTTCAAAGTACTAATGATAAGAAGCTATACATTTATTTTAGTGAAGCTGTCATTTTTTGGAATTCCGTTTTTGGAATGCAGTTCTTTGTATGGTGTCCTTTGACGATTTGGTGAAGGGTAATTGGTTCTAAATAGTTGGTTTTTAAATGCATAAAATACACAGCATTGTAAAAGAAGCTGATCAAATTGAAATGTGTCAAGCTGAAAAACTTCCAATATAATAATATGTGCTTCTGTATTTAAGTATTAAATAAGATCTAGCATGGGCTGTAATAATTTCAAAGTAATAATGAACATAAAATATGTTTTGAGGTGTCTGCAGCAATGAATGTGATACAGAAGTATTTGCAGTTGTAAGTACTGTTAATGCAAAGTCATAGTTACTACTAAAATACTGTATTCTTTTTACATAGAAGTATTCTAAGGAGTTTTAGAGAAATAGAAGTAACTGAAGATTTATGTCCAAGGTTTGTCCTTCATATATTAAAATATATGCAACAGTGTGACTTCTTCAAGGAGATGAACCCTATATTACTATCAAGAGCATAGACTCAAGCCAGACAGCTAGGTAAAGTTCAGCTGTGGCATTCATTCATTAAGTGCATGCCTGGCAGGTTACTCACCATGTCTGTGCCTCAGTTTCCTTACCTGTAAAACAAGATGTAGGTGCACCTTTGTTTTTCATTTCATAGACTTTCATGAAGATAAAGTTATACATGAAGTACTTAGAATAGTTCTTATCACATTGTAAGCCTTATATAAAGTATTTATTGTTTTTACAATTATTGAAATCATGTTTGAAGTTTTTTTTTGTTTGGAGACAGGGTCTCACCATGTAGTTCAGGCTGGCCTTGCACTTTCTATGTAGCCCAGGCTGGCCTCGAACCACTGTGGTTCTCCTGCTTCAGCCTCCCGAATGCTGGGATTATAGGCATGCGCCACCACCTACAAATGTCTTACTACTCTTAGAAAGAGGTTAGTTTAGGGACTTACGGTGGTCCATAGTCACATATAAAATGTGCTCCGTTGGAAAGACTGTCAAAGCCAGAAACTCTAGGGCAAAATTGAACTGCGCAGCCAACCTTGTAACTCTCAGCCCAAACAACCTGTGAAGCCCAAAAAAATAAAGATTTGTAACACAGAAATAGAAATGATGAATATTTGGATATGATTAGGTCTTCATAAACATAAGTATATTCACACCAGTCAGGTAAAGCACTTTCTACCAGGTAAATTTTAGGTGCTCAAAATTCTGCTGGAACCAAGACCTGTAATTACTGTTGAGCGTGCGTGCATGCTTGCATGCGTGTAGGGAGTGAAGTAAACAGTAACATAATTTTTGACAGTCACTGGGATGAAATAAAACAGGTAACGACTGAGTGAGTGATAGGGACAAAGAGGACTGGTTTAGTGGGGGCTGAGGGAGGACATCTCTAAAGAGGAGGCTTTGTTTGAACGGAGGTATGAGTAGTGTGGATAAGGAAATGAGCAGTGGAGATAGCATGTTTGAAAGGGCCAGAGGTGGAATCTGCTGGTGAGAATGCAGAGAGAATGCAAGTGGAGCCAGGATGTGCAGAGTGGAGGAATGGGTGATGAGGTCACAGGTGGAGGAACAGATAATGGAGATTCTTGTAGGTACAATTTCCTGTCCTAAAAGACCCCTGAGGTGGCTATGAAGTGAATGGACTGAGAAAGGCCAGGGAAGAAAATGGAGATTTTGAAGGTGATTTCAGTGGTACAAGAATGCAAACATGGCGTCCCACACTTGGGTGACGGAGAGCAGATCCGATTCATGTCTTAGCTCATAGGTGTAGCTGAATAGGTTTGCTTTTGTTTTGGCTGTGGGGGTAACAGTTCCAGTTTGGATTCTGTGAAACCTTTATTGAGAATGGAGAACAGGAGTAGGAGCATGGGTAGAAGGTTCTAGTCACACACGTGAATGTGAAGCTGCCTGTCTGGTGTTCTGGTGAAGACTGATATTGCTGCGAGACTTAGCTACGTGCAGTTGAAAGGACAGGGTTCGGCTAGAAATATAAAGCTGGAAGATATGGGGCTGGATGAGATCCCACAGGCAAAATAGTAGACAAAAAAATAAATAAAAGACTGGGATTAAGGGGAAAAAACACAACCTCACTTCCTTAGAGAGGGGTCCCAGGCCACACATGCCCTTAGCGTTCTTTTTCCCCTGATATTCTTGCCAGTATCTGTTACTTGATTTTTTTGATGATGGCCGTTCTTTTGAGAATGTTTTTTTTTTCTTTGTCTATGATTTGTACTCTGGTACTAAGTAACATGTTGGCCATTCTTTTAAAATCATGATACACACAACAGTATGTTAACTATTGTTGTTCTCTAATTTTGTTAAAAAATTTTGTTTTTCATAGAATAGTGTTTTTATGTTTTCCTTATTAATATCTACTTGTATTACATTAAAATAAAAACATTGTAAAAGCCAAGAATAAGATGAATAGTACTATGTAGTGGGAGGTCCTAGTACTATCAAACCCAGAGAATCTGCCACCTTGCCCAGATATTTATGTGAAACTGTACCCACTCTTTGGAAAGCTGAACTGTAGGAACAAAATATGTAATTTGCATTATCTTCCATATTACTACACTTAAATTCTTCTCCAGTGTTGGTTTGTGTTCACTGAGGATAAAGTCAAAGTGTTTAACCTGTCAAGAAATACCCATTTTATGAGGAGATAATTCATCTGAATTTTTTATCTGAATTTTTAATATTTATTTACTTATTTATTGTGCTATTGGTGATTAACACTGAACCTTTACACTGAACTACATTCTCAGACTTTATTTCTCATTTTGAGACAAGGTCTCACTGAAGCTAGGGTTTTTTTTTTTGTACCGGGAATCACACTCATGACCTCAGGCTTACCAGGCAAGCACTTATGCCGCTAAGCTATATCCCGGCTAAAGCTAGGTTTTGAAATTGAGATCCTCCTGCTTCAGCTTCCCATAGTGATGAGATTATAGGCACGCCCCACCTAGCTGAATTTATTATTTATGTGCAACTGGACAACACTGGTCAAAACTTGCAAATAGTTCCATTTCAACAGAAGATGAGGATAAAAGGGAGGTTATAATAACTACTTAATGTAACTTTCCAGAATGAATTTTTTTTTTTTTTTTGAGACAAGGCCTCTTTATGTAGCCCAGGCTGGCCTCAAACTCCCTGTGGTTCTGCGTTAGCCTTCCCGAGTGCTGGGATTACAGGCGTGTGCCACTGTGTCCAACCCCAGCATGAATTTAAAATGGCTACTAAATAGTCAAATTTCCCAGCAAGATTTCCTATAAGGATAAAAACAGTCTTCTCCCAAGCTATCAGACCCTCCTTCCAATAGGACTGTTTGAAAACTATGTTATGGAAGAGATCTAATCTTTGTTCACTGCCTATTTAGCACAAGTCTTGGGCCAGATTTCTAGAAAACAGAGCACTTTTTTGGGGGTAATATGTCAGAGAAATGGGAGTAAGGAAAAGAAAGGTAGGTAAGGAGAGAGACAGCTGGGAATGGTCCCTGGTTTTCAGGAGATGGCCCTAATTTGCGAGAGACATATGTGTAAGTGGATGTATCGCAGGGCCTGGCCGGCGCAGTTCAGAGCAAGTGTCCGAGTGCCACAGGAGCGAAGAGAGCAAGGTGGCTTTCTAGCCAGGGAAGGGACAAGGCTTCACACAGCAGGAGACGCATGAACTGATTCTTGAAAACACAGTGAGAGTTTGTTAAAAAAGGAAGGGGAAGATACTTCCAGGCAAAATTGACAAGGTACAGAAGAATGTGCACAATGTGTGTGTGAGTGATTCTGTACTTTAGATAAATGTCAAAGAGCTCTGCATGTCAAATATGCAAAGGTCTGAAGGTGGTTCTATTGACAACAGGCTCCTAGCCCTTGCTCATATATACAAGTGCCACATCCATCACCCTAGAGGGTCAAGATAAGAGGAGGAAACCTAACTTCATGTCAGATGTGTAAGGTTCGAGTCAGACCTGACTCTCCTAGAGCCCAACCCGCTTGCCGGCAGCAGCACTGCTGTCTGAGGGGAACTCGGCTCTCAGCAGGGAGCTCAGCTCGGTACTGAAGTTGTCATGGAGGAGCACAGGAAAGGAGATAAGCTAGGACAAGGTATTTTGAGGTGCTGGGGACATCTGGAGACACCCACACTTCAAAGACTGCCCAGTGGGATGCAAGACTGTCAGAGAACTTCGACCACAGGTGTTTATTGGGACCTTCCTGCATAAAATCCTCTGCCTTCTCTCCACCCCTATAAAAGGGACACACTTCTCTTTGTTAGGAGCAGACGGTCTTATAGTCTTGTCACACTCTCTGCCTGCACCCAGGCACAATAAACTCCATGCCATGCTGCCTTTATACAAGCCTAGTAGTCCCTGCTGGTTTTTCCCCTATCCCTGTATGTTAAAACATGGGCCTGAGATTTCAGGCATGAGTCTCCCAAAATTAACGGAGCTTACTTGTAAATTCTCTCTGAAGGACTAATATTTTGGACAACAGAAAATTCATTTTCTAAAATTCAGTGCTTCACATATAGATATTAGAGTTCATACTGAATGATCCTAAGCTCTTCTGTTTAAAAGATAATGATATTCTACGCCTACCTTAGAAGAGGGACTCTCATGGGGAGAATGTCCAGAGATTCCTTGGGTCTGCTAAAATGTAGCTACAGCACGTGCTTTTTGAGTGAGTATGGGTTTTCGCTCCCTACGCAGAAGGCCCCATTCGATTCTTGCCACTAGCCTCCAAGGGAGGTGCTGCTATCCACAGATGGATAGATGGATCAGAGAGGTTAAGAAGTTGTTTCCCCAGTGCCATTTAGCTAGTAAAAGGAAGGGTTCACATTCAGATACTGGATGCAAGGCTTGAAATAGTAAAATGTATGTAAATTATCTAGGAAGATCCAGTGCTGCTGGATCAGTGCTGTTCAGATTGATAGGCTTCACGTACTTCCGTCTGTATGGCCAGGTTCTTCAAGCCCGACTTCCTTTGGTATTAGAGTCCGTCCTATTTACTTTCTTTTTCTCTTTTTTTCTGGTGTTGAGCATCAAACCCAAAACCTTGCACATGCCATGCAAGCACTCTACCATTGAATTCCATTTATTATTAAAGTAAGGCTGTTACCTACTCACTCACATCTTCAGGTGCACGAGCTTAGGTATTTTTCAGTTTGCAGGTCTCTCCTCAACCTTGAAAAGATAGCTTAAAACACAAATAAAGGCCAGTACTTACCTGAGTGTAATGGCCACAGACCTTTTTACATTTCCGAGTACTGAAGTCATAGGCTTGAATTTCACTGTACCAGTTTGAGATGGCTGAAGACACTGAGAACAGGGACACAGACCCAGTCCAGATATTTTCTCCCAGCGAGTTAAAGTTTGGGTGCAGCTTGTGTGACTTCAGCTGTGGGTTGTGGTCAAAATGACAGTGTTTTGCCCATGCTTTTGCGATCTGGGCTAGTGCTGGGTCCCAAGTCTGCAATAACAGTGTTAAAAAATGTAGACGTCAAGAACAGAAGCTGTTACTCACCAGTGTCCCTGGAGTGAACAGCTGGGAATTTGAATAGCAAATGAGGCTGGATGCCCACAATAGAGAAGGAACACTGCTTCCAGGTCCTGTTTCAGTAGTTCTCAAGCACTGACTCAGGCTGCTAAGAAGATGGTAATCTAGTTTTGTGGAATTTAGAATCTAAGTGAGGAAGACAGACCAACATGTCCTGGAGGTCAATCACATGTGAGAGAGTAGATACCGTGTTTCATGTTTTTTGTAGTTTATCAGTCACCACAGCTCTCATCCTAAGAACCTCAGAAAGGTTAGAAACCAGTTCAAAACCACTGGTCTGGGATTCAAACCTAGAAGAAAATCCCATTTGTGCCCCTGAAGGCAGGCTGCTTTCCTGAGACAGCCCCTGCTCTGCTGGCAACAACAAACTGCAACAAAACAAACAAACAAACAAAAAGACAAGGAAAAAAACCCGGAAAGTTTGTAAATGTTAGCAGGGGAGAAAAATCATACACACATATGCACGAGAGAGAGAGAGAGAGAGAGAGAGAGAGAGAGAGAGAGAGAGAGAGAGAGAGAGACAGTGAGAGAGCGAGAGAGACAGAGAGAGAGAGAGTGCGAATAGCCTACCCATGACCAGAGAAAAAGAAATGCCCAAAACCAGAGAACTAAAATCTATTTGTGGAGCTGTCTTATATAAGAGTCAAAGGAGAAACTGGCTATGTTTTGAACAGAGGTTGTGAATTTACTGCGCACATGAATTACAAGCAAAAACTCATTCAGGATTACCAAAGACTCACCCCCACACGTTATACCCATGAGCTGTTTTGATTAACTTCTGCTGTAAATGCTGATATTCTCCTTACCATGTATAGCATATCACTGGCTGTTGGATTCACCTCTGATCGGAACTTGTTATGAATTCGAACACAGTCTTTGATGAAGTCTTCATTGTCGATATCTGGCAAAGTATTTGCTGAATATGAATAACTACAGACAAAAGAAATCATCCTGGCCAGCGTGACAAGAGTGACCCACATGCTCGGTGTTGCTGGCATGGAGCCCCTTGGCGGGTGGCCGCTGGAATCCAGCCCCCCAGGGTTGTGAGTCTGTGTTTGCTCTCCTCGTTTTTCAGCTGGCAGCTTCAGAAAAACAGCAGACTTCAGTTTTGAGAGAACGGGAAGCTGAGTTCATCACAGGTTTTAAGAACTGGGTTTCTCCATATATGGCTTGCAGCTCCTTTTGCGGTCTTAACCCTATCTGTTCAGTGGTGACACAGCACCTATTACAACATAGAGTTTTAAGAGGCTGCATCCGACTTTCTTCTGAGTTGGGATATTTTGAAAACAAATTCTAAAGTCTCCAGAAATAACAGTCTTCAAGTTTCTTTTTAATAATGTGGATTGTGGTAACAAGTCTTAAATAAAAACATATCTCTTGCTTCTCTAATGGAGTGGCGAAAAATTTTCTAATCTCTTTTAGTGATGTATGAGCAAACAGTGGTGGAAATGCAGTGGGCTTTCCTTACCTGAGTCCCTCCTTAACAATGGAAAGTACCCAAACTTATATGCACTGTTTTTTTCCGGTGCACACGTCTGTGTTAATGTTTATAAATTACAGAGTAAGAAAATGATGAATACTAAAATAGGACAATTATGACAATATAGTGTAACAAAATGGCCAGTATCACTACTGCTGTGTTTTGAGACTATTAGTAAGTAACGTAAGGATTACCCAGTCATAAGCATTGTTATATCATGAGTCGATCTGGTAACTGAGACAGTTGCTGCATGACTAATGGACATGTAAACTCTGGACAGATGGGTGTCTAGACAGACTCACGTCTTGAGGTTGGGTGGTGCAAGATTTTATCATTCTATCCAGAACAGTGCATTATTTAAAAGCTATGAATTGCTGAATTTTAGAATTTTTCATTTAATATTTTTGCTAGACTATTAGCAAAAATTAGACTATGCTCTCTCCCCATGGGTAACTGAAACTCTAAAAAGTAAAATCATGGATGAGAGGGGACTGGTGTATCTTCTTAGTGTAACTTGACCTGAAATTCATTCACACAAAGGTTGTGTGTGTGTGTGTGTGTGTGTGTGTGTGTGTGTGTCTATATACGTGCATGCATAAGAAGGAGGGGAGAAAAGTAGAAATACTGGTCTCAAACTCAGATTTTTGTGGACATTCAGTTCTTAACTATGAGACCTTGAATAAACTACTGAACTATCACAGCCCCAGGCGACTGAATGACTGAAAACAGAGATTTTTCTGTCTCCTTCGTCAGAGAGGTTTGGGAGGGTTAAATGAGTTAGCTGATACTATATTAATTTAATATACATTAACATCATGCTCAGTATATTCAGTTTAGTAACACAGTGAAAAGTACAGGCACTGCCCTCAAGGAGAGCATAGTGGTAGGAGCCGTGAGATGATAATGACAAGGGTAGTTGCAATAGAGGCTCTTAAAGATCTGGTAGAGGAATGCACAGAGAGGTACGGATTCCATAGAAAAGGTTGTGTCACCCATCCTGGAAAGGGCAGACAGGGCTTCCTACGTAAAGGAAGTGAGGTATTTTGCAGAAATTGAATCAAATAGGTGATGATCCAGTGCAAAGGAGCTGGTGACATAAAGGAGAGATAACCGGAGAGATAGGATATCTAGATGTGAGGTTAGAAACATGATGTTTTGGAAAGAATGGAAGAAGAATAATGGAAGAATAGAATAGTAGAGTCTTAGGCTAAAGGCCAGAGTCTGGGGGTCTCAACAAAGCAGCTCTGGCCACTTGCCTTAAAACAAGCAAATTGAGAGAGCAGGAAGAAGAAAAGGAATTTTCATCAGTGTAGAGAAGATAAGGACTGGGACCAGGCTTTAAATAGAGGAAAAAGTACAGTGGGGGGCAAGAGATATGCAGTCTTTTTCAAGCAGTGGTCTGGTTGATCATTATCTCAGTTCTCGTCCTGCCAGGTGGCTCCAGAGCAGTTCTTACTGCTTGAGGGTAATCTGGTTCGCATGAGATAATTATTTTTGCTTAAGGGGGACAGGGAACAGCATCATTTCCAGGCATAGGGAAATTATTGCTATTTAGGGTAGAAGTTTTCATCATGAGGTGATTTGTCTATGAGGCCCTGCTCTTCTGGAATCCAAGTCATTGCAGATTTAGAGCAGTGACTGGGGAATTACAGGTATGGGTCCAGGTTCTCTGGAACAGGATGTTGTAAAAGCTAGCGAATGAATGTCCCCACAAATCTTGCAAATACCTTACTTACTCCTATTTTGTTGTCCTCAATCTTGAAGGGGGACAGAATAAGTTAGGTGAATTTAGGAATAAAATGGTTTTTAGGCATTCTGGAAAGGATTGACAGGCCTATGTGCAGAGCTGCACAAGTCTCTGGCCCAAAAATTAAGGCACCAAAGGAGATAGATTTAAGATTAAGGCAGGAGTCAAGCTTTATCCTGCTTTTAGTTAGCCCTTGGGCATCTGCAGTCCCAAATGAGGAATCAGTGCCTCTTTCCCCCAAAGACAATTTCTAATCCTCTGCTGTATGTCATTGTCCTCTATAAATATGGTCTTCCAAGTATTGACTCTGGCTAGTAGGAAACACAATGCTGGTTTTTCATGGACTATAGAATGGAAATGATACCTTTTGGGAGAGAGATACGAGTCAGGTCAAAGAGAATTATTAGATTATACCAACCATTTGGATTTTATCACAAAGGTGATAGAAGTCACTGGGGGATTTGAACTGTTGATGAGTTTGATCTGGCTTCATAAAGAAATATGAAAATGGAATGGGATGGAAGAAAATTCTAGTGAAAACCTCTAGAAAGTAAAGAAATGTTGGAGATTCTAGACTCACTCCACCAAGAGAATTCAGAAAAGTAGCAGGATATAAAAACCACATTAAAAAATAAACTAGCTTTTCTACATGTCAATAATGAACTAACTGAGAAAAAAACCAGGGAAACAATTCTATCCACAACAATTTCAAAAACAAACAAAACGTGGGTATCAGCCTAACTAAGGAGGTGGAAAACCTCTACAAGAATTTCAAAACACTGAAGAAAGAAATGGAAGCAGACATGAAAAGATGGAAAAGCCTTCCACATTCATGGATCAGTAGACTGAATATTATCAAAATGGCTGAATCAACAGATTAAATTCCATCACTACAGGGAAAATGAACTGCATACTTTGCAAAAGAAGTACAAATGGGCAACAAGTATGTATGTTCAACATCTTTAGTCATTAGGGAAATGCAAATCAAAAATACTTTGAGATTCCATCTCGCTGCAGTTGGAATGGCTATCATCAAGAATACAGAAAACAATAAATGCTGGCAAGGATATAGGATGTGGGGAAGGAAATATTCCTCACTGCTGGTGGGAATATAAATTCAGCCACTATAGAAATAATATGGAGGTCCCCAAAAATGGATCTACCACATTACTCAGCTATACCACTCCTTGGTATATATCTGAAAGAATTAAAATAAGCATACACTGGGGATACCTGTGTTTACTGTGGCACAGTTCACCATGACTAAGATATGGAACCTGCCTATAGTGCCCATGGACAGAGGAATGGATAAAGAAAATATTTTTCATGTGTATGTATCTCCAATGGAGTATTATGCAGCTATAAAGAACAAAATTATTTCCTGTGCAAGGAAAATGGATGGAACTAGATGTCATCATGTTAAGTGAAAAACAAGATTCCGAAAGACAAGTATCACATTTCCCCTGGTATGTGGATTTTAAAATGATGATATAAAAGTAGAAGGGAGATCATTATTAGATTAAAAAAAGAGAGACTAATAGGAGGGGGAGGGGTATAAGGGAGGAAAATGGGGAAATAGAAAACAGAAAAAGGTGTTATTAGTTATATCACGAAGAGATTGTGATGGTGACATGAATTTATTGAGGTGAAAAAGTGTCCATTACATTCTTTTAAGTGAAATAGGAAGTTACAAAACAGTAATACTGGCATTGACAATTTTTTATTTTCAAAAATGCATTAATGCATAGAGACACATGAAATTATCTGGAATAGCATTCCCTTAACTGTTTTAATCTGTGTCTGAGAGTGAGATACAGAGTATATTTTTCTTTTTGCTTAAGAGTATTTTTGACTTTTGCTATTATAAAATGGTTTTAAGCTGAGGAAACTAAGGATTGCTGTAAGTGTGTGAGGTGATGGATATGTTAGCTAGATTGACTGATATAAACACTTCACAGTGCATATGTACCCAAAAACATGGTCTTGTACACCTGAAACATATATGATTTTGTCAATTATAGCCAATGAAAAAAGGAAAGATGTGTTGCAGAAACTTAAGGTGCAATTACTGTTTCTACATTTACAAATAAGCTTACAAAATACTTATATATAACTTCACATTTTGTCTAGACTGCTCAATTTCTACTGGCAGTCCTTTCCTTCAGGATACTGACTAGGATAAGCATCTTCTAATCTGAGGTTCAGGGGCAACTTTTTGGCCACTATAGTGTCAGTCAACAGTGATGCCTTCCTCTAGTTTGAATTGGTAGCCAGGCCTAGCATCTGCTTCCTATCTTCTTCAGGGGTTCTGTGAGCTAGACTGGGTATTGAACATGAGAACAAGAGAAATGAGACCTCACATGCAAGCAAGTTCAGTGATGTTTGCAGCTGCTTGAGCAATCTCATCATACACATATAACTCCCAAGAACTAGCACTATTATCCTGGTACTGAAATGCATTCATCAATTTTTTTCTTTAATTTCCTGAAAATAATTATTAAAAGGGAAGGTTTGCCATCAGAAAAACCATTGACATGCTACTGTGAAGAGCAATTTAATTTCTCAGATCTACACTCTCAATTCACTTTATATTTCTGCAATGACAGCCTGTGGAAGTGGTTTACCACAGACCAGGACATTTACCCAGAAGCAAATACAACCTCCAGTTCTTAGAAGCCTTAGAACTTTGCCAGAATTTTTCTACCCTTATCCTGCATCTTTGCATGGTTTCCTTGACTAGTATGCATGTTTGTTATGAAAAAGAAATGTGTTTTTGATGCTTATCACCAAATGGTGGCATTTTAGTAATTTTTTAACCATCTTTTTTACTCTTTACTGTTTAATTTTACTTTTTACAGTGAGGATACAGTATTTTTTATAACTAGAAAACAAACTAAAAC